TTCTTTTTTTTTTTAAATGTGAGTTACTGCCTCTTGATATGTTCTAAAAAGATGAAAGCTTAACCTTGTTCTTTTTGGAGCAGGTTAAGGATCTTGAAAACCAACTGAAAGATCAAATGCAAGAGTCTGAGTTTCAATCCACCATTCTTCAACACAAGGTTTTTAAAGACAAGCATTCCCAGTGCATAGTTTATTATACATGTTGACAACGAATTAGGTCATAAATGCTTTTGTTTCTTCATTGACTTAGGTAAAGGAGCTCGAGATAAAACTGAAAGACCAGGAACAAAAATCAGACTCCTCCGCACTTCATCAAAAGGTTCCTGCACTACCCCTTCTTGTCCTTATTTCCATTGAATAGTTACTTTCTTATATGTTTTAATGCAAGCTATTCACGCAAGGTTTTTAAAGACAAGCATTCCCAGTGCATAGTTTATTATACATGTTGACAACGAATTAGGTCATAAATATTTTTATTTCTTCATTGACTTAGGTAAAGGAGCTCGAGATAAAACTGAAAGACCAGGAACAAAAATCAGACTCCTCCGCACTTCATCAAAAGGTTCGTGCACTACCCCTTTTTGTCCATATTTCCATTGAATAGTTACTTTCTTATATGTTTTAATGCAAGCTATTCAGTGGAAATGTGCAAAATTCAAATATAGTGAACGGAAATATAATTAGTGGTTGGTATCAAATGTATCATATGTTTGTACTTGTAACAAAATTTCCTTCACATGATAAAAGATGTCTTGTTAAGGAAAATGTATTCTACAATGATAATATTCTACATACTTTATTATTCTGAAATTGTGATCCACAATGATAATATTTTAGAACTTTCCACATTTCCTTTTAAAAAAACATTCTGAAACAGATTGTGTTTTTACTATTCACAATTTTTTTAGTTTTTTCTCTGAGAGAAGACGGAAGAGAAACTAAAAGTGCTAGCTAACATTTATTTGACATGTGACACAGATTAAGGAACTTCAAGACAAGTTGAGGGAGCAAGAGAAACAATCTGAGTTTGCTGATGCAGTAAGGGCCACTCCTAATGAAGGAAAGACCTGCATAAGAGATGAAATCATGAATGATGCTGAGGCTTGCATATTAAGGAGTTCGAATTCACTAAATCGTCCAATGAGTCAAGGGTCTATATCACTAAGAGGGAATGATTCTGTCCGTGAGACGAGAAGGAAAAGAGAGTTTAAAAGTGGTGAGACGGAGAACATCATTAGGCTACCAAATTCTTTTAATGATAACAAAGTTAGGAAATCCGACCCGCCGAAGATTGCAAGAATTACAAGAACAGCAAAGCCAGCCACTGCTACTCAAGGGCCATCGGTTAATAGGAGGTTTAGCAGAGATCAGATTCAAATTAAGGAGAGGGATACTGCGAAGAAAATCTGGTCAAGATAGTGAATAAGGAAAAAAACATCAACTTTCTGTATGTTTTCGTTTTATTTATGTGTACATATATGCATACACATATAGTACTTCTGCATTATGTTTTCAACATATAACTTTTTTCGTACTATCTTTGCGTGACATTAGAAATTCATTCATTAATGAATTTTCTTTTTTCATTCAGTGTACGGCTTAAGTTTCTGTTGGTTTTCCTGATGTATTTGTGTTTGTCACAAATACCTTTGTTGACCTCTCTGTAATACCTTTGAGTGTGAAGTGGAATATATTTGATATTTTAGGTAGGTTGAATTGTACATGTTTTAATGGCAACAGAGTTTATTAAGAAGTGCTGTGAATTGAATTATTGCAACCTTTGGAGGAACTAATTTTGAGTCCATAAGCTTTGAGTGGAAGGAACTCAAGGGCTATACTTTACAGTGATTCTAGTGTTGACTAGGGTTGGATGCAAATGTGCATTTAATTTGAAGATGGATTTCAAAGTTGCAATATAATTGTTTTAGGCTTTGGTTCAATTTAAAAAGGCTATATTGCTATGGGGCCTTTGTTGCTACCTTGCAGTCACTTTATGGGGCAAGCTCAATTGTCAGCTAAGGGGGTCTCAGGTTGTGGTGAATTAGGAGACCAGCTTTGGTAGTAGCATATGTTGAGCCACCACGCACAGCCAACAAGCATATGCATAATTAATATAGGATTAGCAACATTCACTTACATTAATGCATCGGCTGCTACTCATATTTTTACGGGCATAATCAGACCTAGCCTAAGGCAAGCACTCCACCTTTTTTTGAATAAAGTCCTCAATTTAGCAACCTTCTTAAACCAATTTCAAACCCAAAGGAATGCACTTAAAATAATGCTCACCATCGGAGGGGCCCGTTTGAAGGTTTGAGGAGGCCTGTTATTTTCTTACTTGTGGTAAAAACGATGGCCTCATTTTTGTTTTATTTATAAAAAAAAACTTATTGGCAAAAGACCCACTAATGTAATGTTTTGAAGCAATTATTCTCCAGGAAAGGTGCTGAGTTTGAAGTCTAGCATCCGTATATTATGTGTAAGTTTAAATTAATATCGCTCCTCTCAATATGAAAGGTCCTAAAAAAAAACACACAAAATCCAATATTGAAACCCTCTAGCTCCACTCCTCACAATTAATTAACGAAACTCCTTCTAGAGAAGAAGGGAAGCAGTGTTCATTAGTTAATCTTAGAAAACCATAAATCTCTCTAAAAAAAATTACACACACAAGCACTTTGGTTTGAATATTGCAGTCAAAGATACAGATTGTGAAAGAAGGGGGGAATTTGTAGTTAAAAGCCAGTCTAACAGAAGAAGCTAAATGCACTTATTTGAAGACAAAAACGATGAAATGATGAGGGTTGGCTTGGTGGGAGGAAGGAAGGTGTGTGAGGGCGGTGTTGTTTTCCGACCCCTAAAGAAAATGCCAAAAAGGGTGACGATATATGAAAGCGATTTTCTCGTTCTAAAGGGGGTCCCCGTTGTCCAACAGGTCATCACAGACACAACAAAACAAAATCCCCGAACGTTATTATGTGATGATGATGACATGTTTGATTGCTTAATTGCCACATCTCTCTGTTTTGCTTTGCTGTATGGAGAGAAACAATCTATCTTTTCTTTTCTTTTCTATTAGATTGACCAAAAGAAAAAAGAAAAAGATAGCGCTAGCAACAAGAAAGAAATCCAAGTTTGCATATGAATTTTGTGCAATTCTTTTAATTAGTTTGACATGTTGTTGTAAATTTGAATTATACATATCTAAATAAGAATCTACATGATTAGCGATTCGGATAAAGAATTTAATAACGGACAACACAATATTTTCCTATGTCGGTAAGATATGTAAAGTCATTTTTGCATTAAAAAAGTATGCCTTGATATTTATATGGATTAGGCAAAAAGCAAGGAGGAGGCTATAATCTCAGTCAAAACCATTATGCATAAAAGAGGTAATTATCTAAAACCTTTTGATTCATGTCATCATGAAGCATTGCCCTTCTGAAATAACGTGCGGTTGAATAATTAAAGAAATGTCTGGCTACTTGTAAGCATGACCTTCGTGCTCTTTCTTGGAAGGGTCCACACATACATGATTGGACGGTGGATGATGATGAAGCCAACAAAATTACCAAGCAACACACACACACACAGAGACAGTATGTGGTGGGGCCAGAGCTGGGCTGCAGGATAAGGCCAGGTGAAGATGAGAAACACTAGATTGTTTCTCAACAAGAAGTCATGAGCTTCTTGCAGCTATATCTATATAGGTTGTAACTTGTAAAATGACAGTTGATACAACGCACAGAAACAGTATAACAAAAAAAAAAAAAAAAAAAGTGTTCTCCCACTCAGTCCTTCACGATAATCTCGCAGTTCTTCGTGTTCTTCCGTTGTTGAGCCACTCATCTGTCTCTGTCTCTAAAGCCAAATGTTAATTAACAATTATACATGCATGCATGGTGTATATATAATAGTTCTTTTGTTGTTGTCATAGTTTAGAACGGAGGGACCATTGAGGTTCGAACTTGGGATTATTAATCTGTCGATAAATGCTCTTATCACTGAATTATGGACCCGCTGGCATAATTATATAATTATATATATATATTAATTTATTGATTTGGTTATAGGTTTTTATTGTGGATTCATAGAAGCCTAAAAGAATGTTGCACCAGTAGAGGCCTGCAACACCAAAAAATTGGTTTCATGGAAGGAAGCCTGGCACATGTAATTTCTTACTCACCTGGTAGATATAGCCTTTTTGCCTTGATGTAGCCCAAATTGAAACAAAGGTAAAGACAGAAAGGATTGGTCTTATTATGCAGTACACAAAGTAAATAAGTGGATAGCTCTCTCTCTCTCTCTCTCTCTCTCTCTCTCTCTCTCAGAGAGAGAGGTTTTGCTGCTGCAAAGAGTAAGAATTCACTGATATTAATATGCATGCGAAGATTTGCTTAAGAATTGAAGGACAAGCAAGCCATTCGTGTATTATGTAAAGAATTAATGGCAAGCATGCTTTTTGGATACATATAGTTGATTATATATATATATACATGGACATAAAGGGAAATATAGGAGGAGCTTTATGCAATATTATTTCTGCTAATGTGTTTTTTGAAAGTTATTGTGGGGTCTGTTTAGTTTAACATAAATAGGCAAAGTAAAGAATAAAGTAGGGCAAGGCAGAGGGAGAGAAAGGGTTTGCTTTTCCCTCTCACTTGTCATGAAACAGAATCACAATGAGAGATGCTTTCAGTGGTAGCAATTAGCACGGAGGGAGGAGGGCTCGCTCTCCAAGACTCTAAAAAGCTAAACACACAACATTTTTTTGATACACCAAAAAACGAACCCTAAGCTTTAAGATGCCACATTTTTGTTTCTCTCTCTCTCTCTCTCTCTCTCTCTCTCTCATGGATTCAAATGTTGACAGTCCTTCATTCAATACACTTTCAAACCACCACTTTTTCAGACAGCACCAAATCATGTACACACCACACTGCCACTAATTATTACGAAGACAGCCCAAGCCACAGAGAGAGAGAGAGAAGGCTGAGGGTGATCAGAGGCTAGCTAGGCTGGCTCAACATTGCAACTATTGCAGGGCTACGGAGGCTTTAAGTAGCTGGCCATTACTGCTACTGAGCTACTGAGCTACTGTGGTGTGTTTCTGTTTCATACAATGACACTGTGATCAGAGGCCGAGGAGGAGAGATGGAGCCTGAGACTCAGTTCCTTGATAGAGATGTATAGAAAGAGAAAGAGAACAGAGGGGAGACAAAGACACACTAATTAGTAGACAGTGAGAGTTGTAGATACTGACTGAACATAAAACAAATCAAAGATATGGTATTAAGTCCCCATTTAATAACAGCCCAAAATCTATATACACAGATCCCTATGGGATTTTTATTTGAGACAAGGGAAGAAACTAGAATGAATGAATGAATGAATTAAGTAGTGATCTGAGATTTAAATGCTACATTGTTTAACTAGCATCATACTTGCTACATTCAATCCAATGTTATAGATTCTTAACTACTCGAAGAAACTTGGATACCCACAAAATGATTTCTTTTTGGAGAGAGAGAGAGAGAGAGAGAGATGTTCTTGCATTTTGGTGCAAGGATATTATTTCACTTCATGAAAAGCTAGTGTATTTTTTGCTACCATAACCAGCAAACTTTTTCCTGAATCTACATGCATAAGAAATGGGGAAAACTACATGAACTGATGAACATCAATACAAAACACTGCACACAAAAAAGAAGAACATCATGTAAAAAGGCAATGCAACAAGTTATCTAATTAAACAGATGAGAGTACTATTGATCAACATATTACTGAATAGTACTAAAATATAAACATAAATTTAGGGCAAAAAGTACTTTACTTTTTGTTACCAATTAAACTTTTACATTTTTGCATATGAACCCAACAAAACCAACAACAAAACATATGCCAAAATGGGTCTTTAGTCTTGGACAATTTCTTAAAATAAACAATAATATAACTACCGCCACTTTTTCATGATCACCCTATGCCTTTTGGATTTGTGTCTACCTCATGATCATCTAGGGCAAAGCATTATATTGCTGCAAATCATGGCTACTCCACGCTTGAATTCCATGCTGCCAGTTGCTTGTGTTTTCATTGCCGCCGCCGCCACCGTTTCCACCTCCGCTGTTGGTTGGAGTCGGAGTCACTGGGGGCGCATAAGAATTCCCAAAGAACCACTCCGTCGCTGTATCTCCGCTCGCACTTGCACCTTCTCTTCTTCCATGAGTGCCAACAACTTGATGTTGATGCTGATGATCAGCTTTTGATGAAACCTCCAGATTCTGAAACAAGCTTATGGGTGCAATCTGCTGCGTTTTCTGCTGCTGTTCTAGCTGAGACTGCGTTGTCTGAGTTGACTGATCATGATCATTGCCACTCCCAAACAACATGGCCAGCCTCTGCTGTTGCAATTTCCAGTGAAGGTCTTGGTTAATGGAGCTCAAAGACTCAATCGACGACGCAAGGCTACTATGAACATTCATAGAGCTCATCATATTCTGAGTAGCACTAAACCCATCACCGCCACCGCCTGCTCCACCGCCCCCTCCGCCGCCCAAAGTGAGAGGATAATTGAAACCCAGAAAAGAATTACAAGAGGCTGATGTGTCAAGAGGAGTGCTTATAGTCAATCCAGAAGTACCCGAAACGTCTCCAAAAGCCGAAAACTGGTTGTTGTTGTTATTATAACTGATTCCAGATGAAGGGTTATGGTGGAGCCTGCTAGGCAAAGATGATAGGCCGCCGAGCTGAAAATCCATGGCAGGAGAAATGCCATGGAAGAACTTTAAGCCGCCCAGCATCATATTCTCCGAGGAGGAAGAGCCCGCGGAGTCTTTCGAGTCGAGGCTGCAGGAGAGCCTGGAATTCGAGGACGACGACCGCACTCTCTTGTTCTTCCGGCAGCCTCCGCCGATGGGGACATTGCGTAAGGCGCCGCCTTTGGTCCAGTATCTCCGGCAGGTCTTGCAGAAGTGACGTGGCTGCGTGAGGCTGTAGTTGTTGTAGTAGCAGAATTTGGTGTTGGGCGAGTCGCATCTCGGGCACTTGAGGGATTGCTCCGGTGGCGGATGCTGCTGCTTTGCTCCTGAGGATGATGATGACGTGGGCTTCGCCCGGCTGCTTGCTCCCCCTCCTCCACCTCCTCCTGCTGCTAGGCTCTCACCGCCTTTTGTGCCGGGCGGAGGCTTCCCTGGCGGTGTGTTGTCGGAGGACATCATGTTTATGTTTTGCTTTGCCGCAGGAGAGGGTGCTTGAATAATCGATTGATTAGTTTTGTGGGGTGGTGTGGTGCTTGGGTTTCCTTTTGGAGAGGCAAAGATGTAGTCAATTCATTAGTTTCATGCATGGGATGGAAAGAGAGAGAGGAGGGGAAGGAGGGTTGTTGAAGGTCGATGGGTGCTTGTGATCTTCATCAAAGAGAGGGGAATAGGGATTTTAATCAGAAAAAAGAAGAAAGAAAAAAAAATAGTGATAAAAGTAATAAGATGGTTTTAGAACTTAGATCTGATAGAATAAATAAAGCTGAAATATGTGTGTGTGTGTGTGTGTGTGTGTGTGTGTGTGTGTGTGTGTGTGTGTGTGTGTGTGTGTGTGTGTGTGTGTGTGTGTGTGTGTGTGTGTGTGTGTGTGTGTGTGTGTGTGTGTGTGTGTGTGTGTGTGTGTGTGTGTGTGTGTGTGTGTGTGTGTGTGTGTGTGTGAGAGAGAGAGAGAGAGAGAGAGAGAGAGAGAGAGAGAGATAGAGAGAGATCACTAGAAAAAAATGTCGGTGAGACTAGTAAACTAGATGATCTGAAAACGATCAGCAGCTGGCAGAACAAAGAGATCCATAGGTAATTGGCATTCACAACAACAACAACAAAAACAACAAAAACAACTACAAAACAATTTGGATGAAATCAGTTCTTTGATGGTTGAGGAGATGGAAAATGTGGCCATACTGAGTGAGATTACTCTTATACCCAGCAGCACTGAAAATCAAAACCCTTTAATCTTTGGAGGAGCTGTGTGTACACGTGTTTGCGCTTTTATTGATCAGTAAAAAAGTAATTTAAAACGTGATTAGTAACACTAATTAAATTGTTTATAATTCTTAAAAAATCAAGGATGATGAAGTCATCTGAAGGCTGAGTCAGTTAGGCAGCAGCAGCAGCACCAACAGTAAGAGTGGGGGTCTCTCTCTCTCACTCACAGCAGCTTTGTCTATTCTTTCCCATGAAATGTCCCTTTTCAACACCAAACAAAACCATACATCAGTTTAAAAGGCATGCATGCATAGTTCCCTTTTCTGTCTAATTATAATTACCTATAGCTTCTAGCATAATTAACCATTAATTATCTTGGTTAAAACTACTAAACAGTATTCTCAATTATTTTTTGCTCTACCTATGAAATTAATTCAAAGCACAGAGCAAACTTTTCGGCACCGTAACCTACCAAAAACAGAAGGGTTTCTTTCAATTATGCAAATTTTATGGGCCATTTATGAACAGACACAAGACAAGGTTAAAAAGATGATCAGTCCATTATTAACATTCTCTAAATAATAACTTGTTTGTTGTCTGGAACTAGCTCTAGCTAGGCCTTGACCCAGCTTGTAGGGATTATGAGTCAGAGATATACCCATCTCGCCAGTTTTATAAAGACTTTCTTTCTCTCTCTCTGTATAACTCAGGAATTTAACGGTCGCGATCACATTTTTTTTCTCTTTCGAAATTTGTCTTCTTCTTGGTCTGGATATTGATGAATTTTATTACTTTCTGCTGGGAACCAAGAGAGATGTACAACTCTCACAGAGAGAGAGAGAGAGAGAGAGAGAGAGAGATTGAATATATATCATTTTCATGCTACTTTTCCATCTCGGTATGAAAAATCTTGAGCATTGATTTTCTTGCACAAAGTAAAGTCAGGAATCCTCTGAGTTTTGAACCTCCCCATCTTCACATTACTTACAAATGCTTCTATGTTGGAAAAGAGCAACGCTTGTTTGCATATCTGTAAGGGTTACAAAAACTTTTCTCATTCTAATCACTTCCATGATGTGCGAGATGTAAATAATTGGCATTCGAATATTGTTCCTCATCCAAAAGCAAAAATTAAGCTAACGAATATGATCATCGTTTACACGCAATTTAATTGGTCACATGCGATAATGAAAGTTTCGTCCCAACATATTTTTAATTATTTAATGTAGGATGAGGCTGCACTTCCGTATATTTGTATCTCTCCACTTGCATGATGGAGTCCAGTGGAGAGCTGGACATATATTGTTGACTCCTTCCGGCACGGTTGTCTAACAAAATCGTAGATAGTGCTGTTCAAGATTTAGTATCATAGTGTTGTTGAAGTCAAGCAAGCTAGGTTAAAATTGACAGTGTGTGGCTATAGAAATTAATAGTAGTACTACTGATTTAGACATAGAGCCAGGCAAGGCACTACCGACCAAAGACGTTAAGGAAGGAAATGGTGGTGGAGAAACGTGGACCGCCGTAAAACTAGTCTAGCTAAGCCAAAAATGTCCACATTTAGAGAGAGAGAGAGAGAGAGAGAGAGAGAGAGAGAGAGAGAGAGAGAGAGAGAGAGAGAGAGAGAAACACGTGATAGAGGTGGCCAGATTCCCGTGAGAGACCAAACCAGAAGCCAAGCTAAGTCCATAACCTCCCAAATCAACACATAAAACCAATGTTTCCATCTGCCCTGCCACTATTACGTACGACCCAAACGTTACAATTATATCTCACGGGCCTTCCATCCATCCCCCCACAAATAGCCATCATCTAACCACTTCCAAGTTCCATCCATCATTTTATTATATCCATATTTGTTTTGTGTTTTTTTTTTCTTAATTATTAATTAGTGTTGTTTTTCATATGGTAATGATGGTTATTTGTCAGATCATCGTAAAGCCTTCAAGAATGGCGGAAAGCGCTCTAGTTTAAATGTCAATTAAGATAATGTTTGATTTTGTTTACACTTGACAGATGATTGACATGGCATATTTAACGATTATCAAAAGTTTCTTTCTTAATCAAATGACTTCCTAACAAGGAAATATGTGAACTACTCTTTGTTTTTTTAAGAGAAATTATTCTTGTAGTACTATATGGCTACATGATGTTACCCATCCACATGTTTTAAAATATAGCGAAAATATGACAAGAATGGCTACTAGAGAATAATGTTATACTTTTTTTTTTTTTTTGACAAAACGAACTACTCTAATATCCGGAGAGAGTGATCAAATTTGAGTACAAGAGAACGAACTCACTATTTTAGTCAACGAACATCCACAACATCAGATGAACTGATTGTAAAAATTATTAATTAATAAATCAGGTTATGATTTTTGTCCTATATCTCCATCAGCGTGCTTTCACTCTGCTCCTGCTCTGTTCTGCTCCATGGACCATGCAGGGTGTTCTGGTCATTTCACATATTTTGGAACTGTGAAGTCGCTCTCTAGTCCCTAATCTCAATTAGTCACGACTTTCAAAGGTTTGACTTTTAGTACTTCACTGCTACAAAGCTTCACTGCATGACATGCTCGCGTATTGATTTTTGGGGCAAATTAATTTTTAATTTTAAGTCATAATTATATTTTATATTTTATATCAATAAACATGCCCTGCAAACTGCATCATAAACATGTCACGTGGCAAAACACTCTAAATTAGGTTTTGCTCACTATTTTAATTCAAGTGTATCATCGCCACCATTTTCAACATTTGACACATGTCCATGCATAACAATTGTTCCATAAATATAAAGTAAAAAGTTAATCATTGTTATGTCTATGGACACGTGTCAAGTATTAAGAAAGGTGATGATGATACACCTTAGATTAAAGCAGTGAACAAAAATATTTTCGGAATACAGAATATCATAATAATGGTAGAAATTGACTCGCTTTTCGTTTTGATATTCTATACAAAATTGCATAAGTCTAAGTAGAATTTATCAGTTCCATTCCATATGTTGCAAATTTCAATTTGAGTACAAAATTTCTCTTTATTCCTCCATTCATATGTATTTCAAACATTACATATATTATATGGGGTTAGGTAAAATTTCATGTGATTCAGTTATAAACAGAATATAAATTCCATCATTGCTAGATCGATCCATATGATTCGATGAAGAATGAGCAAATAGTGAGATTTTTGTCTTGAAATGAGAAATTAAAAAAATTGCTTGGGGGTGGAAATGAGGCAATATCTACAATAACCTGGATTTAATCAGATATGTTCTGAGTTCAACTTGCTAAAACACCCAACCCTTAGAGCATCCACAGTGGAGAGGTGTATATGGGGGTGTATGTTAAATATACACCCCGAGTCATCGGAATCGTCTCCAATGGGGAGATGTAAATAGATGTAAATATACATCACCATCATGGGGATGTAAAATAAAATGTATATTTACATCTATTTTTACATCCCTTGCATGCAAACCCACCCGAGAAAAGAGAAAAAAATGAAGAAAAGTCAACATAAAAGGCTGGAACCCACGACTACACCCCCGAATTTACACCCTCTTATTGGAGCAAAAAATATATTTACACCCCCCGGAGGTGTAATGGGAATGTAAAAATAGCTTTACATCCTCGAATTTACACCTCTCATTGTGGATGCTCTTATACTCTGATGAATGATTAGGTTGTGATCTTTCACACTTGAAACTGACCCAACATAAATAGAAACAAATCCAATAAAGATATTCCAGGTGGTTGAGAAGTTGGGTTTAGAGGCCTATATTCTTTTGCAATATTCTAGGCCCATATATATCAACCCAACATAGATATTTTCTTTTGCAATCTACCTATTATCTTTTAGGAATTATAATTTACCTATTACTGTGAGTTAATAAAAATAGTATCTATACTATTCAAAATATTATGTACATGTCTTTAATTTATAACAAGTGCACATAATTTTTTCAAAGTAACGCACTTATTTTTATTCTTATATATATATATATATGTAGAAATAATGTACCACGGGTAAAAAAATAAAAAGAAATAATGTAACTATGTTTTAAATCAAATGATTTAAGGATTTTTTTGGTCGAATTTGTAGGGATTTTTTTGGGTCAAAATTCAACGGTTTTTATTTTCTCGAAATTTTAGGGATTAGAGGGAACACCACACAAAAAATTGGAGTATGCTAAAAATCATGGAGTTAATGAAATACTTTAAAATAAATTAAATACGAAACATGAAGGTATATCTCATATATTGTAAGTTAGTTAATAATAATAGGGCATATCTATCTTACAAGTTTGGGTTTTAGTTAGATGTTTAAAATTATGTGAGTGTATGTCTAGGATATAAAAGTTGCAAGGACATCTATGCGAAGAACCCAAGACAGCACATTGTAATGGGAAGCCTGAGCACACAAAAAGTCAAGATAATTTTATTCAACTAAAGAAGGGTACATATGCTTGAAATTGAAGATGACGATTCAGG